TATAGGTCAAAATTAAAAACTATTGATTTGATGACTAATTGATGAGTGGGTGAACAACTCTTCACTTAGTGACAATCCTTATCTTCTCTTGTCTACCCAAAACGTCATTGATAACGTCCAAATTGGAGTCACTTGAAAACATAAAAGTTGTAGGGAATTGTCTCAGCTTTCTTATGTAAAACATTCAGGTCATTTGGACTTCTAGAATTCCAGATATGGGTCAAACACTGAACAGTGCTCGGACTGGAAGACAGATTCGGACTTATTTGTTGTTGCTACAATTTGGACTTGAAAATGGCCTTTTTAAGTCTTGGACTCTATGAAAGTTGTAGGCTTATATCTTACCTTTCCATCCATATAAAGTAGACCTAAATCGGAGATCTACAACTCCAGATATAACTCAATTACCGAACAGTGTTCCGGTTTGGATTGCACCGATATCTCTTTTCTAAGTTTGGTCATCTCTTTGTCCTTTCAATTTCAGTTTTTAAATTCATCAATCAATCCTTTCATTTATGTGATAGCCCTGCATTTAAAATGAATATTTACCACAAATTAAAGGTATCTTATATTATTAAATACGTTATTATAAAACATGTTTTAGTTAAGAAGTTATTGATACTTCAAGCAAAATGATGATACAAAACCTTGATAAAAATGCACTTTTAAGTATTAATCAGTCCCCAAACTTTAAAAAATTAAAAATTAATCCTTGAAGCATATTTTGAGATTCTGAACAGAGTAGAAGATGAATTATGGGCAGAATTACTGCATAGTTATGAAATTTTAACACTTTCATTTTAGTCCTCCAATTTGACCCTAAAAAATTTGGAAAAATTTCAGAATGGTCCCTGGAGCATAATGAGATATTCTGGATAGAATTAAGGATTAAACATGGTCAGAATTTCAGTATAGTCATGGATTTATGATATTTTTAATTTGCTCCTCCAATTTGACAAAAATTACAATTTGACCCTAAAATTTTGGAAAAATTTCAGAATGGTCTTGGCGCATAATAAGATATTATGGACAGAATTAAGCATTAAATATGGTCATAATTTCAGTATAGTCATGGATTTATGATATTTTTAGTTTGGTCCTTCAATTTGACAAAAGTTGCAATTTAACCCTTAAAAATATGATAAATTTCATATTAGTCCCTAGCAATAATATTAGCTTTTTCACATTGGTTTGGTGAATAATTGAGGGTTATTTAGTGAATTATTATCAATTTTATTATTTGTTTTATTATGAGTTAAATTTCAGGAAAACCGTTAAATTTTGGGTTTTTGAGAAAATTGATTAGTTAGTTCAAAAACATATAAGGTTACAGAATATACCCTTAGTTAAGTGTATTAAATAGGTTAAATTTTCTTTCAAGTCGTTCTTGAATATGTCTTCTTTGTATTCAAATAATCCTGATATTCTACGTGCTAGACATTAGTAGGATTTTCTTCAGTGTTTGCTTTTGACTTCTTTTTGCTTTTGAGTCAGGTGAGTGAATAATTTTTCATATGCATGAGAAATATTATAAATATTTAATTTGTTAATATGAATTGGATCATGCTTCTTGATAATATA